GTTTTAAAACACACAGAATACACTAATTAAATACATACATGCATTAACCTGACACATTTCTATTAATGTGGGACCAACTCACCATCATAACAGATGAAGGGTCTTTCCTGGTCACAGCTGTCAGTCTTCCATCTGCCTTCATCATCAATCCCAGCCAGGGCACATCGACCACTGTTGGGTCCCTCATTGCTTGAGCCTTTATTCCAGTGTCTGAAAGAGAAACTGCTTCCATCTGACCACCTCCAGCTGTCTCTGAACAGACCAAAATATATGTATGTCCCAGCTACCACAGACTTCATTACTTCCTCCAGTTCTCCATCCTGTAGCTGCTTCATTCCACTGATCAGGTCTGTGTGTTTCACTCTGCAGTAACTTTGAGCTTCCTGCCAGGTCTTCTTCTCTCTAATCAAGTGGTATTTCTGGATTCTATTAGTTTCTGTGGAGTAAACAGATAAACTCACATCACGTTAAATTTACGTTTTCTTGTTTGTAGAAAAAAATGCTCAATAAAACAAAGAAAATAATTTCACAACCCATAAACAAACTACAGAAAGTTAAATCAACATTCTCACCATCATAACAGAGGAAATGGTATGTATTATGGCAACCAGTATCTCTCCATCTAAGGTCATTATTTAAAATTCCACAGTTCTCATCTCCTTTTCCTTTATCACTTGGTTCTCCTGGTTTCCAGTTTGTCTCCCTTTCATTGAACTCCACTCCAGGCAGAGACCAGTACCATGTTCTGATACCATCTGTCTGATCATACAGACCAATCCAAGCCTCCCTCTCATATCCTGCTCTGGTACTGTTGAGTCTCTTCATGTCTGCCATGTTAGACACTGTGGCCAGGTCAGTGTGTTTCTCTCTGCAGTACTGCTGAGCTTCAGTCCAGTTCTTTTCCTCATTAATGTAGAGATACTCATAGAGCTGACAGTTGATGAAACAAATCTGACCTGAAAATATAAAAATGTTGCTGTATTTAGCACTAGATTATTCATCTCCACCAGCATTTGCAGTAGGTCGTTAGTTTAGGTTTATGTAGGGTTATAGGGGTGAAGTGGCTCAGGGGAGGTTGTCTTGTATCAAAGGTGCGTCGATGTTTGAGCCTTTGCTCCATTTCAGTTGTTCTGTCATTGATCAGATCATCAACCTTCTCTGCTTGTGCTGCAGATTCAGATGCTTTGCTTCTGGCTGCTCCAGGGCAGCTGTGGTTCCAGTGTAGCTGAACACAATCAGCATTTGAATGGTTGAATGACTAAATATGCAGCACTTTGCAGTTAAGAGACTTGATAAAACATTATACTGTAGAAGTTTTGTTTTTTAAGTCTGTAATGTATCACAAACCAGTGAGTGTAGCTTTATTTAATATCAACTTACCCATCAGAATGAACAGAACCAGATTCCACTGCATATCTGCTGTCTGGAGATATTTTTTCTCTGTTGGAGGAAAAAGACATTAAATACTTTCAATCAGGATCTGAAAACCTGCAGCTCTTCCTCCTCTGTACAGAGAAACAATGATAGGAGAGGAGCTGAAGCCAAACAGGAAACAGATCAGAGAACAAAAAACTGAAATGTTTCATGTTTACAAATAAAAAAAACCTTTAAATAAATAAAGATATAACAAAAAAATTGATAAAGCAGGTTTTAATAAGGTTGAATACAAGAACAGATTGAGCTCAAACCTTCCTCTGCTTCCTTTCTCCTCACTAAATGGGATGTTCCTTTCTTGATGCTCTGCTGAAAACTGTCCCACTAAACTGTTGGTATCTTTGTTTTG